CAGCTGATATGCTGAGGCTGAAACCTGGAACAGGTAACAGCACAGGAAACAGGCTGTGTGCACATTTCATGTGTGGCTCATCTTGGGGGTTACAGGTGATTCCAATAGGTGCCAGGCATGACTGAGGAGTCTTCATGCAATACCATCTAACCAGGTATTCTACTGATGCTGAATCTGTAACTTTTAAAGCAAAATTAGAAGGACAATAATAAAATGTATGTACAAAACTAAATTACTTGCCAACATCTTGTATTTATTATTTTTAATCCTTATATTTATTATTAGATTTAATTCCACATAGGAGTTCCAATTAAATACAAGAAAAGACATCAACGTCATATATTGAATTTTTTTTCACAGTTAAAATGAGGTAATCTGGCTTTACAATGTTTTAAGTTGAATTAAACAGTTTAATCCAGGTAACAAGAAAGAAGGGGATATCTGCACAGTTATTTTGTAGGGAAGGAAAATATCAAGTGAAATGTACATGAACAAGGTAATTGAATCACAAAGTACATTTCAGAGTATCAAGTAGCATATATGCAAAATTTTCTAACCTTAAAATTTGTTATCATTTTAAAATCTAATTTAGCAAACAACATGCAGTATAATATAAAACAAGCACAGAAGACAAAATATAATATCAAACAGAGCATTTATCAGACTCATGTATCATCTGAGTTGACCAAGACTTATTTTCACTATGACAAACTCAGTATTTTCAAATTGTTTATCAGTGAGGTCAAGTATTACAGTTGGCATATACACAGTACAAATAATGCATCACAATCTGTATGTAATACATATTAATATTAGGTTGCAAATTGTTAAGTGTAAGTGTAAGGGACCACTGTGCCTAGAATAGGTTTTAAGATTTACTATATAGGTATATGCATTCATGACCGAGTGTTATTAGTGCTTTAAACTATTAACAAATGTAAACCTGCAAATACACAGAGCTAATAAAGGCCTATTTGACATTTCAAAGTGCTGTGCTTCCATTGGGCTCAAAGCTTGGGAAGAAGACCCTGCAATTTGAATGAAGAACTGGCCCCAAGCTTAGGTATAGTTCCAGTGACTGGGTGGGAGAGGGGGCAGAATAATGCATTTGAGAAGAATAAGGAGCAAAGAGCACTGTAATAAGTATGTGACTATCAGCCATCAGTGCTGGCTGGTCACCCTCTGGTGACCAGGAGAGAAGTGTTAATTTATGGAGGAGATGAGACAGGTTGAGATTGATGGGGTTGTTTCAATAGACTGAAACAATTCAATTCAAACAATAGATTGAGTTCAATTCCCAGAGAAGACAGTGATTTTTTTTGCCTTTGAAATGAGTTTGAAAAGTCCTAAAAACAAGTTCACTAGAGAAAAGACTAGAACATGATATCCACTGGAGGTTAGAAAATGATCTTAGAATAGTTTTACAGTGTCTGAGATTATGCTATTTCAACAACATTAATAACATTTTGTGCAGTTCTCCTAGGTTAGGGTCAATTCAGAGATCTAGTAGCACTGGTGTCACAATTTTTAGTGGGAATCTGGAGAACCTGGAGGATAAGGAGATAGTGGGCATCTTGGGGCAGTAAAAAGCTGTTCAACACCATTTGGAGTTAAGAGAAGTTTCCAGCTAAATACCTCATCATCTAATCAGTTTTCTCCCACGTGTCCACAGCAATACTGACAAGTTGTAGAGCCATGGTGATCATGCCCAACAGGTAGCGGCTGGAGAGTCAGTCAGTGGGACCAGGACACCGTGGACCATGCCACTCAAAAGAAACTTCCTGCCAGTGTGGAATTTGATGTTATCAACTTCTGTTTCCTCTTAGCATGACCTGTCTATTCAGCCTGTTACTGGGGAAAGCTCACCTCTTAGGAACACATACTTATCAGCAGATTTCTTTCTGCATTACTTGCCTCATATATTGACCACTCAAGGCACCTCAGCCACACTCGTCCTGTCATTCTACCCCACACTTGAGAAACAGCACAAATAGATATTGACCACATGCCACACAAGAGAGAATAATCACAGCCGTGAACCTGAGGGACAAGATACTTAATCTCAGTTTGCTACCTGATAATTTGGGGAGCTAGTTGAGCAAGGTTTGCAGAAATATTCAGCACTGAAGCAGCAGACAGCATCTTTACTCCAGATGAAGGAACCAGGGCAGACAGAGCACAGGATCACTACATAGCCAAGAGGAGAGAGTCTCAGGGCTCTGCCCCATTTGTTAATTAGTTGGTTCTATTTCCCAGAATTTAACAGTAGAAGCCTGCAGTCAGAAAATAAAGAATATCACAAAAACTTTAATTGTGGCATGAACTAAATCTGTAAGATGGCCTGGATTTGTGTGGCTCCTTTTCCTTCCCAGAAAAAGAGGCTGCTTTATTTCAGTCTTAATTCTTTGTTTCTCTGACGTTAGCTTAGTGCCAAGCTTTCTAACTGGGCTGTAATAATGTCTCTTTAGGGAACATTTTCTTGGTAAGATTTACAAAACCCTGACAGTCTACAAAACTGTATTTAATTCCAGAATGTTCTACTATATTGTCTTCTTGAACATAAATGTAAACTTCATGAATTGAGTATGAGTTCATGAAAGAAGTAGGATTCTTAATATCAATCATTACCTGGGCTCCGATCTTGTGCTTTTCTTTGAATTTACATAAGATCCTGGGTTTGGACTCTGACTTTACTGTTCTCAAGAATTCAGGGACCTGAACTCAGCACTAAGGAAAAAAACTAAACTTAATTACTATACAATTTCATACTGTATATGAATATATATATATATATACACACACACACACGCACACACATACACATATATAATTTTTGCATGATCCTTTTAGATGCCATTAATTAAAATTTTTATCATCAATAATTTATCTTCCCTTCAATCAATTCCATCTTGACCTCTCTTTCTAATCCTAAGACTATTTTCTATACTAATAAAACCACAATGGTACCTCTAATAAGTTCCAAATTCAAGCCTCTAATCTCAGGGAAACCAGGAGGGGTCCCTCTGCCACAAAGCCAGGAAAACGTGGCTAGTGGCAAATGGTGCAAAGAACTCATGAAAAAACAGTCTGCATTTCAGAATAAGTACAGCCCCAAATCCTATGAAACCGAGGTCTTCTTTGGCTCAAACAAATAGATTTCTAGGTAATCTCAAAGTTAATTCTGAGCAAGTCTGACAATCCTGTTTGATCTGAACAATTTTCCAGAACGTGTGAGAATAGTGATATGGCTAGGCCACCATGTTTATTGTTGCAGGTGCAGAATGAGTCTATTTCCCCTCTGTCCCATCACACCATTCTCTCACGTGGCCTTAGGTCAAGGAGCAGAATGCACATATTCTTTACAGTAGGTTAAGCAACTCTTTTGTGGAGCAGAGGTTCTGCTAAGTTAAGGGTGAATTGTTTAGAATCTTCCTCTGACCTTCTAAAACTCCTGTGCAGAGTTTCAGAGTGCCAGCTAGGCCACCCAGAGCAGCATGAAGGAGCGGGAGTGGGCTGCATGCGTCACCAGGGGCAGGACTCCAGCATGTCTCTGTGACTCTGTGTTTTGTGTTGTATGCCAAGCTTTGCGATATTTCTCCTGTCAACACTGTGGTACATTTAATGATCCAATCCAAGAGAAGTGCAACTTTATATTTTAAAACTGAACGAGAAAATCAAGTAAACATTTCTCTGAGTGTCAGCAGCCCTTGGGTGTCACCGGCATCCTGTCAGCACACCTGGCCTCTCAGCACCAAACACCTGTACGAAACTGAGGCTCAAGTAAGACACCAGAATAATGCTCTCTTGCCTCTTTATATCTTTGCCAAGCAACAGGAATTAAAGGAAGAGAAGTGATCTGGTCCTTAGCAACTGACCAAGAATTAAGAACAAGACCCAAGTGAACCAATCACAATACAAACAAAACCCTGGTGATTGGCCAGGGGTTTCAGAGTTTGTCACTGGAGTTTAGTATCAGGACTGAAAAGAAACCAAGAGAGTGAGGGCATTCACCGTCTTACTCCATTCTAGGGAAAGCCCTAAAGAACTCGATAATCAAATCCCATAAATCACTTTGGGGGAGGGTTCAAGTTCAAGAATGGGCAAAGTTTTTCTTTGAGATGTTTGTGCTGTGACTTCAAGCTGTGGAAGCCAAAGGTCAGGGCTTTCATTACAGAAGTAAAGGCTGGAAGACCAAGAGTCAGGGATGTGCACATGCTTTTAGCAGCTCACAAGGATACCTGCCACAGTGGGCAACGTGCAAAGTTCACCTACGAGGTGTAAGAGGAAAAGGAAGCTGCTGGAGGTGGTCCAATGGTCTTGTAAATACACACAATCATCAGGAATCCCATGACTGTCTTTTCCTCCTTGAGAATTCATAAGTTGATACTTCCTTGGGGATTTTGACAGTTCTGAGGAACAGTGAAGTACACACGCTTCTGTGTCTCATTTTCTTCCTAACTCCATCCTTTTCAACCATTTTCTGGAGGGTATTCCTTAAGAACTGAGAGTTTTTCATGACCCCATTTCATCTTCTATCCTAGTGCATGGCCTGCTAATAGCTTCTCAGATCTGGACTGCACCCACACATGAACTTAGTCCCTGACACAGGGAGGGAGCCAGGACATCTACAGCAGAGCCAGAGGTCCTTCACAGTCCTGAGATGCATGGTTCCAGTGGGAGGAAGACCGTGGCAGCATCTGACTTGGGTGAGAAAAGTTCAGGAAGCTCCTTTGTGAGTGCTCTTGAGGTAAGAAGCACTTAGGAGAATTAATCTATAAATAAATAAATGAAGAAGTAAATAAATAAATAAGTCAAACACAAGAGGGCTTTTTATAGTTAAGCACCTCTTATCAATAAAAAAAAAATCTCCTATTGAGTTACAAAGCCCTCATACAGTGGTGATTAGTAGGCTCATAACAACCTGGTGAAAGCAGAACAATCAAGACACAAACTGGAAATGTTCCAACACTGGGCATTCCTGATGACACACAAGTCCCCGAGGTAGTCTTGTTTCCAAGGAATTACAGAATGGCTCCAAACCCACTTGGAGCTTCCTCTTAAATCCATTGCACTTTCCCATGTCTGCCTTCATGGTGTCATGGACTAGAAGCCTTCCATCAGCCCAGATATGAGTCCGAGGCAGACAAAAATGGCATGCAATTCCAAGATCTGGCTTGGAGATCCCACTCCAGAGAGGACTTTGCCAAAATGATGCCTGTGCTTACCTAGCAGTCATTTTGAGAAAAGCTACACAATTAAATTAAATGGCATGCAAACATGCATGTCTCCCTCTTATTGTGTCCACACCAGAAAGTTCTCTTATCTTTCTTCCTTTCATTTTCAAGAAAGGGCCAGAAAGAAATAGTTTTATAACTGGGAAACTCATTTCTGACACTGAGGATAGTATGCATTATTTATCTAAAGAATGAAAGTGATCAGTTACCAGCAGTTCGAGGTTGAAATACTTTAGTGGTAAATAAATCTCTCAGGGAAGAAGTGGTGACATTCAACATCCTAGAGAGAACCAGATCTTGGTCCTTCCTCTCTTCAGCGCTCCAGGCTGGTATAAAACCACCCTAGAAAGGCTGGCTATACCAGCAATGAATCATTCTTTTGCTGGAAAGCCTTTGTGATTCAGCCTTCTCATGGGCCCAAACAGGGAAGCTAACAGGAAACAGGGTTAATTAGGGGGACATTCAATACCCCAATGGGCCTTGGAGTCCCCATTTCCATATTACATTCAGCACCAAGAGCCATTGCATATATTCTGACCTTGATCACATGAAATATGTTTTCTTCCCTTGGACTTAGGTTATTTAAAAGTCTCATTTGGAAAAAAAAATCAATTAAAAGTCCTGTAATTTTATGCAATGGCCCTGTGAGGAGGGGAAAAAAATGCCCTCCTCTTCTTATTACACCATCATGGCCCAGGGGCCATCCTAACAGGAAACCCTTCAGAACTCTACCCTGGCTCAACACATTCAACATTAAGTTAAATAAGAAATTAAATCAGCATTTTGCCAAAGCTCTATTCTCCTGCAGGAGGTCATTCAACTCGATAACGGTTGTGGCAAAGTCCACTAGGTCGACAAAGTCAGATGTGATGATGTTGACACCCATGGCACCAGGCTTCTGAGTTTTCACCCAGTCCAGGATGGCAGGAAGATTTCTATACAAAGGGGACAGAGAGGGCAGTTTAGAAGGTATCCAGAAACACACACAAAACCTTGACACGAATGTCACGAAAATGTGTCAATTAAAGCAAAAGCTCTCATAAGTTTGTTCATTGAAGCTTCAATCTCTTTCAGGGATTAAATGATCTCTAGTCCATCAAAGAATTGTACTTTCAGGATGTATGTGCTGGAATGGGTGATATGATATCAATAAAATATTGAAAAATTAATTAAGGGTTTCACTATTGGATGTTTAACTTTTTAAATTATAGACATTTCCAATATACTGCAACTTTGAGAGAATTTTACAGTGAGTACATTTACAACCAGATTCTACCATTAGCATTTTACTATATACTTGCTTATTACATATCTATCGATCACTCTATCCTTCTATCAGTCCATCAAATATTTCGACAGATTTCAATTAACAACATTTATGCACATCTCCTAAATAGTTGAGCATATACCAGGAATGAAGGTTCAATAGTTGCTTTCAGATTATTATTCTTAAAACAAAAAGTTTACATCCAATAAAATGTGTGAAACTAGCTTAGACAAAGTTTATACAGAACCTTTAAGACACATATCAAAGTATAGAGCATTACAGGTATCCCAGAGAGCTTCTGCATGCCTCTTCCCCAACAATGCTGCCTTCATCCTCCCAGAGGGAAAAATCATAGTGATTGTTTCCTACCACAGATTAAATCTGTCTGTTTTACAACTTCACCTATTGTAAGTCATACAATAGGTATCTGCAGGGGAGGTTCTTTCATTTAGCGTGAAAGTTTTGAAATTTATATGTGTTGCAAGCATCAGTACTTTTACGTATCACTGTGTGCTATTCCATTGTACAGACATACTGCAGCTTGCTTATTCATTTTCCTGTTGATTTCAAATGGCTTGTTTCCAGATTGGCTATCACGAATAAAAGTGCTATGGACAGGCCCTTCCTGGTGGCGCAGCGGGTTAACGTGCAGCACTGCAAGTAAGCCACAGCCACTTCAGTGCGAGTTTGATCCCTGGCCCCAGAGGTGACCACATGGCGCAGCAGACCTCTCCTGTCTCCCCCACTGCTCCCCTCAGCAGTGTACTTTGTCAATCTGCCTGTTCTGCTCCCTACTCTGTCTCTGGTGAATCCTCTCACAACCACTGCACTTCTGGCCTGTACCCCAGTTCTGTATGCAAATAAATAAATAAAATCTTTAAAAATAAAAGTGCTATGGACAGTCTTATAAGCCTTTGTTCAGGGACACATATTTTCATTTCTCTTAGATACTTACTAAGGACTAAAACTGCGTTATTATGGGGTAGATTTACATTTAGTTTTATAAAAAATAAGCAGACCTTGTCCTAAAGAGGTAATGCCTTTGCACATTCTCACCAACAAAGTATGACTGGTTGCTTTACATTTTCCCCCAAATCTGGGGTTGTCCTCTTTTTTTTTTTTTTTCAATTTTAGCCATTTTGATAGCTAAATCTCATTGGAGAGTTGGTCATATACATATTGGCTATTTGAATGTCTTTTTTAACCTAGTCTTTTTCTTTTAATTATTGAATTACAGAAATTATTCATATATTATGGATATTAATTTCTGATCAGATATATTTTTTAATGCTTTGTCTCCATCTAAAACTCACCTACTAATTTTCTCTATGGCACATTTTGGTGAACTGAATTCCTTAACTTTGATGGGGCCCAATTTATTAATTTTAAAATGATTTATGTGACCTGTATAAGAAGCTTGTCTCCTCCCAATTCATAAAGGTTATGTCTATGATTTGTTCTTAAATCTTTATGGTTTTATTTTTTATGTTTAGATTTAAGCTCCATCCAAATTAAGTTTTGTATACGGTGTGAAGTACACACTCTCTCAATATGGATATATGCTCATTCTAGGAGGACATGTGGTTTCTTAACAGACCAAAGTTCACCCACTTGTCTCATAAATAGTCTGTTGGCGTTACTTTAGAAATTACAGACTTTTAGGTGATAGCCTACTGTTTTGCCTGAAACTGGTCAGTTTAGTGACATAAACAAACGCCAATTTAATGTTTGTTTTTATTAGTGGCCAGTGTAAAATCTCATGGCTGTGGACGAGGGGGTAGTGAAGAGTAATCAAATTTTGCACCTGGGTAAAAATAGCTCACTAAATATTTTATAGAGTTCAAGGAAGATAGAAACAATTGGACTTATATTTTTGTTAAGAGATTGAATAAACTTTTGCTCTAGGTCAAAATTGAAAATAAGCACAGTTTATTTTTCGAAGGGCAGCCTTCCTCTTCTTTGGAAGTACTCACTTTGGCTGTCATCTTTCTGTTCCTGCTTAGAAGCCACCCTCCCTTCCTACAGCACAATCCTGATTTCTCAGTCTCCTGAGAGGACACCATCAAAGCCTCGGGAGCATTTTGTCTTATTTTAACAAATCTTAGCAGTCCCAGGTCTTGACAATCAGTGGATTCTCCAGCTAGTCTTGGGAAAAAATACATCCCATCAATCAAACAGCATTTTTACATTCATAGCCACTTCACAGAACACCATCACAGAGTACTTCCAATTTTCCTGGGACTTCTGAAAAGCTGACACTTTCAATTCAACTGTAACTTATTGAATGCCCCTGTCTCTCTCTAGATAATGGGGACAGTGATAATATGCCATGTAGGTTTATTTATTTATTTATTTGGAATTGCATAAAATAATAGTGCTTAGAACAATACTTGGTATGTAGTAGGTACTATGGAAGTGTTTGGTTTGAGAGACGGAATCTTAAATGGTGACTGTAAATTACATATATTTGGGCACTGGGGTAAGAAATATTTCTAAAGATGTTAAATCCTGCTGCTTAGGTGACAAAATATCGTGGCTTAAGAATGAAAGACTGCAAATAAAGTCTTTCCTTGGAGACGGAAACCGGGAATACACCGTGGTGGACATGGTAATACTAGTGGGTCAGTGCTCAGATTTGTTTTATAGAGTGTGCCAGTATTTCAGAGTAAAGTGCAGGCGCCATCGTCTGGTTATTCGGGGAAATGAGAATTAAAGACAGTGACAATTTCAGCAGACTCCAGCCTTAGCAGAAACTCAGGGATCCCTTGGAGCCTGAGCAGAGAAACGAGGGAATAGCTGCACCTACAGTCTCAGGTGACAAAGAATCCTGTGTCAGCTTCGGGTTTCATCTGTCAACCTTCTCCAAGGCAAGGATCAAACAGGCAGGATTACAGAGAAAGGGAAATGTAGAACCTACTGTGAAGAGGAGTCACTTGTTTTCTTGACTCCTGACATTTATCAAGATGTTCAGCCGCTGAGCCAGATATTTGCTGACCTGAGTCCAGGAGGTACAGGGTCCCATCGGCTGTAGTGCAGAAAGTTTCCTTTCACATTGAGGTCACCTGATAGCAAGGCTGGCCCACTGTTTCTCTGGGCTTCCTACAGATGGGGATGGCATGCCTACTTCGTGTCTGGCACTGTGTTAGAGCGTTTCATGTGAAGACCCTACAATACTGGGTGGTACTACTTACCCACTTAACTTGTGATAAAATCATATCTCACAGACCTCAGGAAAGTGGTCCTAGGGTCCTTTTTAAAGGGACACCATTATTTTGCTGCCATAATAAAATACCATGTGGAACACTGGAAAAGGAAACAATCTGACAATAAGCAGTCCAGAATCAAGTCATATTATTGACTCTTACCTACTATGTGGATGTGGGTCACTGAGCCCCATCTTACTTGGGGACAATATGTAATAGCCAACATGCCCTCTCAGAAGGTGACTTACTTTAAAAATCAAATACGATCATCTTCATGAAGGTACTTTATATACAATGTACCTTGTTTTTAAATATTCTCTATACCTTATTATTATGACTTTTCACAGAGTTCTGTACATGATTTTTCATTGCTTTGTATAAATTTACATGTATATTTATATTTTCCTGTTAGACTGTAATTTCCTTGAGGGCAGTGATTACATTATTCTCGTATCCCTGGACCAAGTTCCGTACAGATGCTCATAGACTACTGAATAGATAAATAAGCAATGTTATCCTACAGATTTACCAAGGGTATAAAGAAAATGGGATAGACACATAAACATATTTGTTTGTTTTTTTTTTAATACTATTTTTTTTAACATATTTGTTTTTAAAAGAAGGCTTAGTGTTCTGAATCTTTCATTGGCTCATGAAATTGTCTTTTCCAAGTTGAGCACCACTAATTCAGTTATGGTTTTGTTTGTAGCCAACCTCATCAGAGACTTTCATGAAGAAAGATGAGGTGCTCCTTGCCATTTAAACTCTACCACCTGAAGTCATGCTACCCCAAACCAGAACCAAGCATACAGCGACACCTTCTTATATGAATCCCTCACTCTGAACTCCGGTGCTCACCACCTGGATCTTATGAACCAAAGGGGTTTCTTGTAAACATCCCTTATTGCCCAAACACATGCGCTTCCTCATGTTGGATTGGAAGGCACATCCTGTTATCTAATTGTATGTGTAACCTTCCCTTTGCGGACCTATGTACACACATACTCATAGACACTAACATGTGTAAGCTGTCCTCTTTTTTTAACAACTATCATTTACTGGTATTGATGATAAAGAATCATCAACTGAATCAAATTCCTGGAGCTTTCCGTGTTTGATGGGACTGCCACACTGTTTTGCTCTGAAGACATATTGAAAATACGGCATGGTAGTAGCACCTTTTTATGCTTTCAGGGCTCTGTCACTCTGGAAGGGGCACACCCAGATACTTGAAGGACCATTTCTGAATCCCTAGCACCCAGCATAGCAGTTTCCTTTCTTAAGAGAATGAGTACTTGGACTGACAGTGCAGAGAGGCCAGAAGTTAACAGAATGATTTTGCTTTACAGTGCTTTGTCTTTGGATCAAAATTTAGATAGCATTGATGGCACAATAAATACATTTTAACAAAGTACTGAGAGGGTCTTTGACTAGAAGTAATGCACATCATTTGCAATGTAGAGCTTTTTCAAATAGAAGGTTTTTTTGTTTTGCTGTTAGTTAAAATCTTCAAATTACAAAGTTTTACTGCTGTTTATATGGAAATGAGCCAAGGTAATTTTTTTTGTTTGTTCACTTGTTCTGCTTTTTAAACCAAATCTTCCCTATTAGATGGAAGCAAATTCTTACCTATGAACCAGGGTGTTCTTGAGACCACCAACCAGGCCCCGGGCAATGGTCTTTGCTCTTGGGGTCAGAATCGCTTGAGAGACATGGAAGGAGCCTTGGGGGGCCCGCTCACTGAGAGTGGTCTCCAAGAAGAGGATCAGTTTGCGCACACTTGTGGTGTTTGCCCAGGGGGCTGGAATCTTCTTTCCTGGCCACAGGAAGGGGTATTGCTTGTAGAAAGGACAGTGATAGAAAATAAGAACCTGAAATGTTCAAAACAGAAGTAGAGAATTTCAGGAAAAAGCTGAATGGTGACTCCTTGCTTTTACATTGAAAAAAAGGCAGGTATAAACGTAAGTGGAAATTCAAGAATTGTTAGTTTTTATAAAAATCAATAAGCAAAGAGTAAAGCATTATTCATGAGATTAATCCTGAGCTGTAGGATTTGAGATCAACACACTGAATTCATTTGGGAGTAAGCAGACTTTGGATGGTGTCTTGCTGACTGACTGAAACTGCCCAGCCCAAGAGGGGGAAGGAGAGACCTGGAGGTGATGAGCCTCCTCTAAGACCTCTCAGGCTGACGATGATTTAGAAAATAATTAGCAAGCCACCTCCACAGTATTAATTAGTTAATGAGAGGCAGCAGAGGGACAGAGAATTGCTATTTTGAGCGTCCCAATTCAGAGTTCTGCAGGTTAGATTTTTAGATGCATCACAGAGTTTCTCCAATAAGCACCACTAATTGCTTCCTGAAGGAAGGTCCAGCATGTGCGCTTACACTCACTGGACTGCAATCTGGAATGGCTGGCCCACCGGCATGATCCAGGCATCGAGGGGGAGGGTTTTGAATGTGTGGCTTATTTCCAGTGCACATTAGCTCATGACTAAGGTCCCTAAAGCCCTGGAAGCACTAGGCTGGATGCACCGAGTGGGCTGATCATTACTCTTGTTGTTTTTAATGGTTTTGAGTAACGTCTGACTGATGGCTAATGAGGTCTACGCTAAACACGTGTGTTAATGAGGTTAACACAGGCTCATATAAACAGACTGCCTGGGCGGTTGGGAGGGGCTTCCTGCTGGCGGTGTATTTGGTCCTCTGGAATTCCGGATCTGAAATCTGCCAGTGGAATGGAGACTGTGGGAGAGGCAGGGGTATGTGATCCTTCAACAGGGCCTGCCAGACCATTTCCTGTGCTGTCTGGTCCCTGAGCAGCATGTCAGGGGACCAGAGGATAAGAGGATAGGGCTGTAATTTGCTTTGGCTTGGGAAATGTGCAAGAAGAACACATTCTACAAGAGGGACATTACATGCGTTTCCTAAAAAGCAATCTGATCCTGGAGCTTATAAGGGGAATTTCTTACCCACTTTTACTCTACCGACTCTAGGGGCAGTAACTCATCCCAATCCCTGAGTTTTGCACCTATGGGGCTATCTCACTCTTCTGTATTTTTCTCTAGATACTCTCCCTACCAGCTGAGCAATTCATGCTCAGTTCTTCTCCTGAGGCTCAGATTTAAAATCTCATTTCCTTTAAGAATTATTCCTTCATCGACCTACTCTTACTCTGATTAGTCCTTCACTAAGAAACCCTTGGCACACATAGGTTTACACTAGGCATTATTTTTCAAATGGTTGACTAGAAACCCCCTTTCCTCATATATGTGGTACATCTGAGAAAGTTTTATCTTTTAACTGTATACTGATTAATTTTCTATTTTACTAGCATTATGTAGTCATCGTACTTTCTCATAAAAATTCTAAATACTGGTGAACTGCAGATTAAATGGCCTAAAACCCACAACCACTGTGTACATGGATATAGATGTGAGCTGTGGGGTAACTGCATGTTGAATAAATGAAATTTTACTTCTTGTTATTAAATTGTGGTAGTAAAATACTCAGGGGGCGTATACAAGGAAGCTCACTACATAATGAACATTTAAAGTTTAACTACGATCAAGGCCCTAGCCCAGTAGGGGGGAGATGATGAAGACTCTGAGAACTCTTGGTTTAGTTTTTAAGAAGCAATACAACCCAGAAAAAATTGGAAAAGGAAAGGCAGAATTCAAATTGATGACACATTCCCTTTATCTGATATGTCATCACAATCTCCTTCAAAAGTTTAGGAGTATTTATAATTGGATGATTTAGATTAGCGCTCATACTTAGACATTCACACAACAGCACTGTGCTGCTGGAAAACCACCTCCACACCATTATTCTGTAGACATGTGATACTCTTACAGATTTCTAAGCAACTTAGTATGCAATTTTTATAGTATTATTTTTCATGGCTGGTTTACAATGCAGCGAATGATTTAGAAGTATATATAGTTCACATCTCTTAAGAAGTGTGGTCTGTTACCACATCATCAAAGCGCCCATAATAATACTAACCATAGCTCATTGGGTCCCTCTCTGCTTTGCTTCCCTCTTCCCACCCTCTATTCTGCAGAATACAGTGTGTACAAAATCACAACTTTTTATAACACACATGCTGTACTCAAATTTAACCTTACCTGAATGGCAATATTCAAAAGCCCTCTTAGAGTTCTCTGGCCCTTTTTTCCCATTCTGCTAGTTCCTTAAGAGCCTCTATAATTGGGGCTCAAGAATAAAGAGAAAGTGTTTTACCAGCATAATCTAGACATTAATTGTGAAAGTCAACAAAATATGTGAATAGCCCAGGGGAGCAGCAGAAACCAACGTAACTCTGGAGTCCAACAGCATGGGACTCAATTCTGCCACTTTCTTGCCTCTGGTGAATGACATTTGCTTGGGCAACTTGCTTAACCTCTCCAGGTCTCAGTTACCTCATCTTTAAAATGAACATAATAACAAAGCCCTTACCTCAGTTTTGCTGAGAGTACTGAATATGGTAATCCACCTACCCAGCATGGTGTAAAGACCATGTAAATGTTAGCTGTTACTGCTGCTGTTGTTATACCATTATTTAACATTGCAAAAGAAAGATTGTATGGGAGGAAAAATATCTCCCCAAGTTAAAACTCTTAGTAGCTAATAGTCTGAGCTTGAACAGATAATAAATTTAGATTTTGGGGGAGGGCTGTGATAAATATTTGGTAAAAGATCACTTTGAAATTTTTAAGAAGGAAATATGGCTTACATAAATTTTAATAGCTACTAAAAGTTAACCTTGATAGCTTTTGTGAAAAGACATTTAGTGTATTTATGGATGTACAAAATAGTACATCTAGTTAGGCAGAAGTTAGGAGTCTTCCTTCAATCCTCACTTCTGGTCTCATGCTGTGGGCTCTGCCTTCTAATTGATTCAAAATCTAAGCACTTCCCCACACAATTGCCTTACTTCCTTCACTCCCTGTGTTCCAGGCCTCTTCCTAGCAGCTCCTTAAAACCGACTGAGGTCACAGAGTCTCCTCACAGGTTCTTCAATCCTAAACTCATTCCCCCTCTGACCTACACTCTGTGAATATGACCTTTTAAAAGGTTAACATTCCTGAGATGAATCACTTCATCTGCCTTTGTCAGCTAATGTTTTACTTCCTAGTTAATACTTGGCAAGGGTTAATGGACACAGAATTGAAGACAGCATGGAATATACTACCCCTGAGAGGAACTAGGAGGTTGAAACCAGACAATATGGGAGAAAAATGGTAAAACCAAGTGGTCCATTTTCACAACTTGGTCTTGGACTGGTTCTGATCAAGTCATTCAGGATCAGATTAGATGCCAAACAGATCCCAAGCAAGTTGTAAATATTTAAGGTTTTAATTCTAGTTCAGTGGTGCCCAGGGGAGACCTGAATGCCAGCCTAGGGCCCAGGAACCAGTAAGTATATGTTTACTATTCCACACAATCTATGCTTTTTAGCCTAAGAACTCTGGAGAGAGAAGCCCTGGCAATATCAAAAAAGCAGATGGGTTAAGTTTTTTCTCTTGGAATTACATGTTTCCCCCTACCTGGTACTTCTTCTCCCATAGGCTTTGAAGTGTCATACTTTCCACACTACAGGCTGAGCATAGCTTGTTTCCAAAGGCCTCCTGGATGCGGAGAACTAGGCATTTGTGATGGGCTTCATCCATGGCATAGAAGTGGTTGAAATCCAAGAAGACAATCTCTTGAGGGTGCTGTGTAAGAAACAAGTCAATCTCCATCAATCCATCCCAGACTTTTATGCCAAAGAGCCCATGGATAAAGTAGATTTCCTGGTCACCATCCCCTGGTTTGGAAGATACACGAAGATCAAAGTAGCGGATCCCAGCTTCGAGCTGTTCCCGGAAAGTCAGGTTCTGAGTCACAGACCATTTCTTCATTAGCTTCTTCACCAAGGAGATCCGGGCCAGGCGTTTGATAGCTGGGGTTTGGTCAGGTCCCACTGGAGACTTCTCATCTACCCAGTAGCTGAATGAATCATGGGAGCCTATAAAAAAATAATAAACGTGAGGAGAACGTTGAGATGGGGGCTGGGAAAAATATAAATTGACAGGAATATAAAACAAAACAAAATTAAGAACCAAATGCACATAGAAAATTGTAAATGAATATTGGGGAAAATGTTCAAGTTGTTGGGAATGAAATAAAAGTTATATGGTCTTATTAGCAGCTTTATTAAGCCTGGTATAAAGCTATAATTCTCATATATTGTTGGTGGAAGGTAAATTAATAAATACTCCTTTGGAAAGCTATTTAGTAATGTGTTTAGAAAGAGAAGGTTTAAAATATTCATACCATTTGAACTAGTAATTGCATTTTAGGAATGCTATTCTGAGGAAATGAACTCTCTCATTTCGATAAACAAAGCTGCTTGCTGAAAAATTCTGTCTAGTTGCTTAAGTGTTCCTCAGAATTTTTTATGGTGGTATATCCACTTCATTCCTGCAGTCAGTGAAAGGAAAATTATGAAAATCTGTGTCTATTTCTACAATGCTGTGATAGGTATTTAAATTCTAGGAATGGCAGAATTAAAAAAAACACCTCTTTTTATGCTTTTGTATACATTATATTATTATTGTGTAAGTCTGAGTCAGTAGGAATGATTACTTGGCAGATCTGACACACATTTTGAAGAACTCAGCACAGAGTAGTGGTATGACCCTCATCTCTAAAAGAATGAAGCTGGCCCTCCCTGGTGGCACAACGTGTAGAGATGCAGCACTGAAAGCTGGCCACAGTCATTTCAGTGTGAGTTCAATTCCCACCTCAGAGGTGACCCACATGCACAGCAGGCCTCTCCTGTCTTGCCCACTGCTTCCCTCAGCAGTGTACTTTGTCTATCTGCCTGCTCTACTCCCCACTCTGTGGTGAATCCTCTCACCGCCCCTGCACCTCTGACCTGTTATGCAGATCTGTATGCATAAATAAATCAATCTAAAAAAAAATGAAACTGCTACTAAATGATCAAATGCATGTCCCATTCCTGTATTAAAACACAAGAGGGTAGGTGTTCACTTAGATGCTGAGATGATACCACAATTATTAAGATTTAGGTGACACACAATAGCCATTTTTCTGACTACAGTAAGACAATATTTCACTCATAGTTAATGGCAAAAACCATATTAAACATATACCTTTCATTTTGTTATTGGTTTCTACCTAATGTCAGCAATTATTTGTCACCTCTGTGAATGAATCTGAGGTTGGGGACCCTATAAAGATGGCCATGGTTTATGAGCAAAATCTAGGAAGAAAATACATTTTTGAGGTTACTAACCTTTTTAACCACTACTAAATCAGAATTAAAATTCTTGCATTCATATTAGTTGACCATCACCACTAATCCATTTTACTACATCTTAAGCTAGGCATTTCACATAAAATATATAGAATTTTATAAAAGTCTGGTGTTTTGTGTTATTTCCATTTTCCTAAAAAAAATCATTCTGGGATGGCTTTACTATTTTATCTTTCACAAATAAAGCAAAAAAGTATGTCAAAGGCTGCTTTATTTTTAGGTAGTTTCTAGCACAGGGAGTCACTATTAAGAAAAAGCATACTTATTGCTCCTTAGGCAAAGTGAATTTTGCAAGTGAGAAAATTACTAGTATTTTTCAGGTAGAAATAATTGCCATTACTAATAGAAATATGGAACAAGTCCCCCTGGATTTTCCATATTAGCTGTCTCTGTTAATGAGACTCTCTGGACATCTGCCTAATGTTCTCCTTCCTTAGGCTGGAGAGAAATAGGAAATCTTTATATTCCTCATAGAGAGATTCATTTTGAATACTTAATATATAGATGGTGATCAGCCAGTTATCTTTTCTCTTTAAATTGTATTAGCAGCCCAGCTGTTCAGGATTGAGTGTGTAATATAACACAATACATGCATTCAACTTAATTTTCCCCTGGGTATCAGGAAACAGTCATTATCCAAGCATAAAGGAGAGACAAATTCCCTCTGGTATTCTCTTGTTGGTGCTGAGCCCAGTTTTATTTCCTGAGGGAGATGTGCTAACAACCTCCAGTGCTTTTCTCCATGTCTGGGAATTGTGTAGCAAAATGATAGCAATGGGGCCCTGGAGACCATTTCTGAATACACAGGGACACACTTGGTGCCCAGTACAGACCCAGAAGCGGGAGGGCTTACACATTCCCTGGGAACACAGAGTCTATTGATCTCTTTGCTCCTTTTTCCATTTCCTCTTCTCCTTTCTGACATCCTGTGGCCAGTACCTCCCCCTCCCTCTGCTTGATAGAGAAGGGCGGGACAATGGAGCAGATTGTGTGTTGAATGTTTTATAACCTTTGTCCTACCTAGATCTACAGCAGGGAAAGTCAATCAGTTTCCACTATCAATAGATTGTCTTTCTACTTACATTTTTTCCCAGGAAGGTTTTATTCATATGGGTAAAGGAACATTCAGCTACTTAAATGCATTTAAGTATTTTTTTTTCAAAAAACAGGAAAGATGTGCTCCTCTCTCTTACAGAGTATTTACAAATTATGCAACCTGCAAGTAGTACTTATAAAAGGAAAATCCCCAAATTTATTATAGACACCAAAATTTCATTATCAAAATTTCCCTTTGTCCCTATATCCAATGGAAGTTTTCTTACTTAAAACATTTTTTTAATTGAACTAACACTGATTTATAAATTTACAGAGGTATAGGCATTATACTCTGACATTCATACATGAAGACTGTCATGAAGACTGTCTATAATTAGGGCTGCTTCCCCCTGTCGTTGATGACACTTCTTTCTCTAAGAGAACTGTGCATGGGAGTAAGGGAGAGCAACTCCTTAAGGTCCACTTCCATCAAAGAGATAACTGGTCAGAACTTCATCTTTCTGTGATGTCTGCCAGAGAAATATTTTTGTTGAGGTTACCCAGCAGTAACTGTGCATCCTCACTCATCATTCTCTGTGGATCCCGATCTCTATTATAAGATTTAAGTGCTTCCTTTAATCTTTTTTTTAAAATTTATTTATTTATTTGTACAGAACTGGGGTACTGGCCAGAGATTCGGAGGGTGAGAGGATTCACCAGAGACAGTGTGGGGAGCAGAACAGGCAGATCGACAAAGTACACTGTAGAGGGGAGCAGCGGGCGGGTCAGGAGAGGTCTGCCTCGCCATGTGGATCTCCTCCGAGGTAGGCGGGGATCGAACTCATACGGAAGTGTCTTAAGCTTCTTTGTGCTGTACTTTAACCCGCTGCACCACCAGGGCGGGCCCGCTTCCTTTAATCTTAAGGAAAAAACTAGATTTAAGTGCTTTTTTTTTAAATCTTAAGAACACTTTCCCTTACATGTCCTACCTCTCCAAGTGACTACCTTCTTTCTGCCTCACTGTCAAATTTTTGAAAGCACAAGCCAGTTCTACTGCTTTTATTTTCTGTGACCTACACTCCCCTTCTATCTGAAACTCTTCCTATCCTTTTATTGCTACTTTTGATCCTTAAGACCTCCAATCAATGACTCCAAATGAGGGTTCACTAAGTGAAGTATTTTCTGGAGCCTTCCATTCCTTTGTGTTTTAGCCCTATAAAGGTGAGAGGGTTTTCCCTCCAATTTTCAGAAATTAATTTTTCTGTAATCCTTTCATTTTCACAGTGACTTCTTGTTACTGTTTTCTTATAGAGTTAACAAACATTACAAAGGTTTCATCTTTGTCTTCTTTTTATATACAAAACTCTAGACAACGTATTGTGAAAATACTCTAATCCAAAATGGTGATCCTTAATCTTGGATACCCACCATCCAAGCTATTAAAAACATCAATGACCAAGATCCCTACCTAAATCTATGAGTCAGAGCCTCTGTAGGGTGTTAATTGAGAATGGAAAATTTGAAAAGCTCCTATGGGATTCTATGGGGTACTCAAGCTTAATATCCATGGATATGCATGTAAAATTATTTTCATCCAACAAATTTTAATGACTTTTGGGGGTGGCTTTCTAGAACATCTTCAGAACCTTTAAATAATAATCTTATGGATGCATTTTTTCAATATTATTTTTGTTCCAGGAATGACTCCTGCCTTTGGACCAATTGAATAGATATGGCTTGTTTTGGAGTAATAAAAATATGGGGAAGATTTGCCTTCCTTATCATACCTTCTAGTAAATGATTAGGTGAGATTATTTAAAGTTAATTAGGACCCGACATGTGGAGTGGATTATAGAGTTCAAAATAAAGTCACTGAGATAGCAAAATCATGAAGAAAGAAATTTGAATGATTAAAGTTTAGTGGGATGTTTATAGTTATTTCCTTTTACATGGCACGAGGCTACAAGAAAATCTATGAGATTATAAATTGAAATTATAAGTTGGCTTGTGAGAGCCAGAGGCAACTAGTTTGTTCTTTATCTGGATCACCCATTGCTGCTTGATTCTTTCAGAGATTTGCTATTTAGGGACTGGGGAATCTCAAATGAGCATGTAGCAGTTTTTAGTTAAAGCAGTTTCATCACCCACTTCTTGCAAATTGAAGAAGTGGCCATTTTTCTAAACTCAGAAATATCTTAAAGCAAGCATCATAGGAACTTGGTCTTTAAATAAAAAAAAAAGTAGTCAAACCTCACACCCCAAATGGTACATTTCATTAAACCACAGTGGCCTTTCATCTTACATGGTGACTGTACTCGTAACCATGAGGGAATATGGACATACAAGAACTTAGGTCAAAGAAATTCTGACCTCATCCATTTAAGTCTCTTTCCCCCACTTCCTTGAGGTACTGCTCTACTTTGGGTGAGCTCCAAGTTGGTTTGCTGCAGCCTACCCTGCCACCCTCTGTTTGCTCACACCTTTCAGCCTACCCTTAGCAGTGTTTCTAGCTTAGCTATCACTCTCAAGGCAAGAAAAAGTGGTCCTTGGAGAATGAAAAACACCTTACCCTTCTTTATATAAAGTTCTCTTCTTTTGTCTCTGTGTGTACATAGACATTTTCACACACACACACACAGTACTTAAACATT